CCGCCTTTCTTTTCTCTGGTGCGGAGGGGGGGCTCAACTACCGCGGGGGCCAGAGGGCGCAACCTCCCAGCGCTTCCTGCCTCTGCTCCTTACCAGCCGCCATGGCGACGGCGGCGATCAACCAGTTAGGGCGGTGGTGGGGGGGGCTTTGGGGGCGCAGTTTGGCGCCCCTGAGGGCCGGCGCGCCCTAGGCGAGCGCCTAGTTCGCCTAGTGGGCGAGCCGGCCCTGGCAGCAGGGCACAGCGAACTGCCTTGTATGGTATACTTTTCTAGTGCAATGCATAAAAAAGCATTTTGCCTTCTAGAAAGGTTAAACAAAATGTTTGTCAAATACGATTCACATGTACTATAAAACGCTGGGTCCTTGATGTTTTTACCACTCATTGTAGTGATATAGGGACAAGCCCATAACCCTACTTGATTTTTTAGCTCTCTTTTTGATAACAGAATTAAAGCTACAGGACTCATCGGTGAGATGGCTGCTGTGGTGGCCATTTTGCAGCTAGGCAAAATAAAGATGAATGAATTTATTTTCACCAACAAACTGCTGCTTATACTGAGTCAGACCTAGCTAAGGCAGTTTTTTTGTTGTTGTTGAAACTGGCAGATCTCTTGCAGGAGCTCCTCCCAGCCTTAGAGGTGGGGCTGTGGCTCAGTGGCAGAGCATCTGCTTGGCATGCAGAAAGTCCCAGATTCAATCCCCGGCATCTCCAGTTTTTTAAAAAAAGGAACAGGTAGCAGGTGATGTGCCAGACCTCTGCCTGAGAGACAGCTGCTGCCAGTCTGAGTAGGCAATACTGACCTTGATGGACCAGGGGCCTGATTCAGTATAACGCAGCTTCATGTATTCTCTTAGAGAGCTTATTGACTGAAGATACCAGGGACTGAACTGAGCATAACAAGCACATATGCTCTCTACCAGTGCACTCCTTCGTTCAGGGACAATCAGGAATACAGCCAGCCAGTTAACTTGGAAATCGGGTCATCAGCAGTATTCCCTCTAAGCTGAGTTGGTGTGAGCTAGCTCACAGTTTTTTAGCCTCCGATTCACACATTTTTGACTTAGCTCAGGAAGGATGGCTCCAGAGCAAACTAATTTATGCAGTAGCCAAATCACTGGCTCACAACTTTAATGCCAGTGGCTCACAAAGTAGAATTTTTGCTCACAAGACTCCATAGCTTAGAGGGAGCATTTGAAGCAAGATAGTTTGGTGAGCCTGTTTAGACAGAACACATTCTTTATGTACTTACGGGATCTCCCCCAGAGGCAAAAGAAATGGACTGCATGTGATGGTTTGCAATAATCTGAAAAATTAAAAAAAGGATTATGCCCATGTGCCATATTGTGTACAGATTATGCCACTTTGGAGACTGTAACAAGGTTCCATCTGAGATGTGCAGTACAGCTAGTGTGTACACAGGGGTGGGGGCAACCTGTGGCACATGCTTTGACAGGAGCAAGCTAAACCATATATATAAAAGTACAAATATTTATTAAGGTGTACACATGTTAAAACTTTCCTGATTAAAAATTACTTTGTCTAAGATCAGACTATAAAAGCTTATCCTCTATACATACATATGATGGGTAAATAATTTACAACTGAAGACCAAACACGTTTCGGCCCCGAAGGGCATTCCTCAGTGGTCACTATTATCTATATATTCTAGTCACACATACAGAGACCTGTTACAGAGTTTTAGTACACATATAATTTAGCCAGATGTTGTTTCCTTGTATACTTATAATTGGACTCCTGGTTTTAGTGATGGGCCATATGTATAGCCATATCACCTCCACAATTTATTCTGGTAACAGCGATTTTATCAAGGTTATTGTGTTCAGTTTTGGGCACCACAATTTAAGAAGGATATAGACAAGCCGGAATGTGTTCAGAAGAGAGCTACGAAGATGGTGAGGGGTCTGGAGATCAAGTCCTATAAGGAAAGGTTGAAGGAGCTGGGTATGTTTAGCCTGGAGAGGAGATGACTGAGAGGTGATATGATAACCATCTTCAAGTACTTGAAGGGCAGTCATCTAGAGGATGATGTGGAGTTGTTTTCTGTTGCCCCAGAACCAATGGGTTGAAATTAAATCAGAAGAGTTTTCGGCTAAACGTTAGGAAGAACTTCCGGACAGTTAGAGCGGTTGAGTGGTTCCTCAGTGGAACAGGCTTCCTCAGGAGGTAGTGGGCTCTCCTTTGGAGGTTTTCAAACAGAGGCTAGGTGGCCATCTGACAGCAATGCGGATTCTGTGAACTTAGGCAGATCATGAGAGGGAGGGCAGGACGGGTTGCCTCAGTGCTTAGTTCTCGTGGCCCTTTTTTACATGCCGAGGGAAATGCTGATTGCCACTTTGGGGTCAGGAAGCAATCCTGGAGGTTTTTTTGTCATCTTCTGGGTGTGGAACAGCGGTCACTGTGGGTGTGGTGGGGGAGGTATTTGTGAATTTCCTGCCTTGTGCAGGGGGTTGGACTAGGTAACTCTTGAGATCCCTTCCAACTCTATGATTCCCCTTTCTGAGCATGTGTATCTTCCCATCTGTAATAATACCACCAACCTGTTTTCCAGGTCTATTGTAAAAAGCAACATGAAATGGTTTGAACATTTAGCAAAACAAAGTCATTGGACTACATTGTGTTCACGGAGCACAATTCCCCCTCGCCCCTCCTGCAGCTCACCAAAAAGCCCCTCCAGATCCAGTTCTTGGGGGAGAGGGGGACTCCAGGAACAAGATATTGAGGGGCATTTTAGGCTACTGTGGGATGCGGAGGGGGGGAGACTCTTGCACCTGCAGAAGCATCAATCTAGATCCAAATTATCCACATATATATTGCATATCAAAGGTTCACTACGTATTGCCAAAGTATTCCCAAAATCATGATTTTGGAAAATAAATAATTTAGGATTAGCTTTCATTTTCAGCAGATCAACTGGTACTGCTGTTAGAGAATGAGATTGATATTTGCTTTATGGACTATTTATTGCTACACACAATGGACTGTGCACACACACATAGGCTCAGAAGACTGTACACTATAAGTCACCTGTTGTGATACCACACATTCTTATGCTGAGCGGTCGGGTTAGAACGGATAAAAGGAAGTACTTCTTCACCCAAAGAGTGATTAACACTTGGAATTCACTGCCACAGGAAGTGGTGGCGGCTACAAGCATGGACGGCTTCAAAAGGGAATTAGATAAGCATATGGAGCAGAGGTCCATCAGTGGCTATTAGCCACAAGGTATAGATAGGGACTCTGGGGCAAGTGATGCTCTGTCATCTTGGTGCTTGGGGGGGGGGGTCAACAGTGGGATGGCTTCTAATGTCCTGGCCCCACTGCTGGACCTCCTGATGGCACTGGTATTTCTGGCCACTGTGGGATACAGAGTATTGGACTGGATGGGCCTTTGGCCTGATCCAACATTGGCATCTCTTATGTTCTTATGTTCTTAAGGTGCATGCAAATGTCTTACACGTAAATAAGGTTTCAGCTACACAGTTACCTAGCCTGGTGAAGAAGCACAAACCTCCATTATTGTGAGCAAGGAGAAACAACAACTCTGAGAAGAAACAGCCCCATTGCAGAACTGTTTGTGGTCACGTACCACCCATCACTGCTTTGTTCCTGAGAAGGCATTTCCTGCCAAATGGACATTTGGTTTTCAATAGAATGGCCAGCTTCATCAACACTACAATGGAGCATCTTGACGCCAAGGTTTCACACCTGCCCAGGATGCCGTACTCTGAGTAGGTCTTAGTTTACAATATTGGCCACTCCTTTTAGGTAACCACCCCTCCCTACATGCAACCAATAGGATTGTTTTTGCGACGGACTAACAGGTAGGTGGGTCAAGAGGTTGGCACAGCCACAACCCATCTCTTGAACCCCCCATAAAAGGAAAGGACCATTCACCTGGCCTTTCCTAGCTAGCAATCCCCGCAACAACCCCTATCTGCTTTTACTCCCCTTGAGTCCCACTTGCTATCCCCAACCCTTGCCTCTACTTTGATCTCTTGATCTGCAGTCAAGAGACCCCCACAAAGTCCAGCTAGTTCTGGTAGTGTGGATCCCATTATTTTCTATTTCTTCCCATCCATTCTTCATTGGAACAACCAAGCTGCAAGACAGATAAGTATTGCCCACCATCACCCCTACCCGCTAATGCAACCGTGCTTATTTTTATATTGTAATTCTAAGGAACTTGATTGAATGTGTGAGTGCATCAGTATTGTTTGTACGAGATATATTTTAAAGTAAAAGACATCTATTTTAACTACAACCGACTCGAATCTTTTACTGGTAACCCTTGGTGGGAACAGGACCTTGGTATAGTTGGCAAGAACCCATTTATAAATTGCCAATTGCTGTAAATAAAGCAATTCGGCTAAGACTGCTTGAACAAAACAAAAAAAAGACAGATACAAAAGGTATGCTTTTTTAAAAAAGGAATCAACCCACCTGTTGGGTTTCACTGTTCATTAGAGTCAGACTGCTTGTTGAGATGGTCAATTTTATATTAATACCAGAGAACTGAAGGTTACTTTTACCAAGAACTGGAGACAGAAATTTAGCCGGAGGCTGCAAAGACAAGAGAATGCCTGTTCATATTTCATTAGAAGCCACGAAATGAAGTTTCTCCCAAAGCTTTGGGAAATGCATTGCTTGCATGGTATGCTACACACACTGTCAGATATCTTTTCCTGGTTGCCAACCAACTCGTAGATCACAAGCAGAAACTATGCTGGTTAGAGTACCCTAAAAGAAAGGAGCTTTCAGTGTTAGTCTAAATGCAGTAATTGTGATGATGTGAAATCAGCTGGTTTATATCAAGCTGTTAGGTAATGGGCTCTTGGAGACACAAGGCAGGCGGAGAAGAAGAAGAGGAAGAGATTGGATTTATAGCCCCACCAGTGTTCCCTCTAAGATGAGTTAGTGTGAGCTAGCTCACAGTTTTTTAGCCTCCGGCTCACACATTTTTGTCTTAGCTCAGGAAGGATGGCTCCAGAGCAAACTAATTTATGCAGTAGCCAATTCACCTGCTCACAACTTTAATGCTGGTAGCTCACAAAGTAGAATTTTTGCCCACAGGACTCCACAGCTTAGAGGGAGCATTGCCCTTGACTACCCAAAGGAGTCAAAGGAGTCACACCAGCAGCTGCATGTGGAGGACTGAGGAATCAAACCTGGTTCTCCCAGATTAGAGTCCGTGCTCCTAACCACTACACCAGACTGGCGCTCCAGAAGGCACAACCGATCCATGGAATGTCAAGGAGCTTCCAAGGTAGGCCAGCTGGCCTGCCCTGTGCGGCTTCTTCAGCAGCAGCCACTCCAAAGACGCAGAAATGGCCAACCCCATGACGTCCAACATGAAAACAATATTTATTTATTTATTACTTTCGTCTTACTATCCCGCTCTAATCCCCGAAGGGGTCTCTGAGCGGCTATACAGTTATCCATTATCCCTATCTAAGGCCACAATTCATCAGGGGTGGGGACATCCCTACCAGCACCCAGTGGAGGGGGGGGTTCTTTCCTCGGGTCGGCTTTTTTTTTTTTTTCCTTTCAGCTGCGGCTTCTGGCTCCTCTCTTTTTCTGGCGGTCCTCTTTTCGCGGCGGATCGGTGGGCCCCTCTGGCGTGCGGCATGCTTGGCACGGTCCTGGCTCTGTCCTTTACGGTTCCGCCCGCCTGCGCCACCACGCTCACACGTCGTCCTGGCTCCGCCTTCTCCGCTGCCGTCAGGTTCGCCACTGATGTTTCCGCTCGCTGCCGCCGCCGCCGTTCACCTTCCGCCGAAACCGGCCCTCCAACGACCCCCGGAATGGGGGAGGGTGCCCCCTACCTTCTAAGGTAGGTTCCCAATTTATCTACTCGCGCTTTAGTTGGTTAAGGGCGCTTTTGAACCGCTGGGTTGGCGGGAGCTGGGACAAAGGGCCAGGTGCTCAATCTGGCCACGGTGGGTATCGAACTGCTACAGCAGTTCGTAGATGTTATTACAGCAGGTGTTTAACCACCTGCGCCACTGCTCCCTACAACTAAGGCTTCAACCCACATGAAGATACATGAAGAGCATCCTTCCATTGAAAGAAGCTGAGCTGCAACCGGTGAAAAGTGAGAAGAAGAGATGGTTTGTTGACAAGTTAACCCCCTTCTCCCAGGTGTAAGCTTAAGCTACCTGAGAGGGTTGGCGTAGGAAGGGGAAGGGAGTCCATAAGCCTCTCCCATCTGCAGCAAGGACACACCAGGCAGCCAGCAGATTCCAGTCCCAATTTGGCATTTTCAACAATACACCTCAGTTGCTGCTTTAATTGCCACGGCTAGGGAGACAAAGCTTCAACACATGAAGATGCCTTATACTGAATCAGGCCATTGGTCCACCAAGACCAGGACTGTCTGGTTGGCAGCAGCTCTCCAGGATCTCAGGCAGAGGTCTTTCACTTCAACTACTACCTGATCTTTTTAACTGGAGAAGCCAGGGATTGAACCTTCTGCATGCCAAGCGGATGCTCTACCAATGAGCCATGGCTCCCTTCAGGGCCGGCTCGCTCACTAGGCACTCGCCTAGAGCGCACCGGCCCTTAGGGGTGCCAAACTGGCACCCGGCACCCCCACCAAAAGCCCACTCCCCGCCAAAAGCCCTGCAACTTTCCTGACCGGGTGGGTGACTGCTGCGTGCCGCCGGGTCTTTCAGTGCGCTCAGAAGCGCAGCCGCCCTCCTCTTAGAGGAGCAGGAGCCACTGGCCTCCCCACCCTCAGGAATTAGTGGTTAGGAGCACAGGCTAATCTGGGTGACCCGGGTTGGATTCCCCCACTCCTCCTCCACATGCAGCTGCTGGCTTGGCCTTGGCTCAGTCACAAGTTCTCTCAGAACTGTTCTTTCAAGGGCAGTCCTTGAAAGAGCTCTCTCAGCCCCACCGACCTCACAACCTTTCTGATTTTGTGTTGTTCATTCTTCCTAAAATGCATTTATGTTTGAAAATTGGGGGGCGCACGGGAAAGGGGCGCCAGAAGGTATCCTCGCCTAGTGTGCAAAAAAACCTGGGGCCGGCCCTGGCTCCCTTGCACCATAAAGATGCAAGGGTAGGAGGCCCAGGCATCCCTTCATGACCAAAGGAAGCTTTCGGTTTAGTATTAGAACAGCACTGCAGACAGCTCACCAAATGATGCTGGTTTTAAACAGAGGTAAACTGTGCTGTATAAGACAGTTTTAAGTCCAGTTAATCCTATGTGTGTCTGGTTTTCTGGAAGCACCCTATGTAGCTAGGCTATCCTGTCATTATGCAAAAATTGCCTTCTTTGGTATATACTACTGAAAGATTCTGGATAGACATGAGTTATTCTGGAGTGTACATTCTTGAGTGCAAAACAAAAATTATTGTCCAAACCATCTGAAGTTGGCCAAGCAAACAAAGGGCAGGTGGCTCGCAGGAGGAGTCTCTGGGCTTCAGGGACCTGATTTTGCTTTGGGAGCGATTCTGCTTTCAAATGAGCACTGCCTGCTGGTCTGTCCATGAGCCCACTGACTGATAGAGTTGCTACACTTATCAATGGGCAGATAATCCCTAGCAGTCTCTCTTCTCCAAAGGGAGCTCTGCAAAATTGCCCCAGTAGTTACCGCTCTTTAGGGGGAGCAGTGAGCCATATGCAAAGGAAAATGCTGAGCCACGAAGTGGGTAATATTTACCTTCCGCTTTTTGATGGCCCCATGTGTTCCTGGCACAGCTTCACACAGCCGACTTATCGCTTCCCTTTTAAAGAAAGAACAAATAGTACAGAGGATCAACTGGTTTGAATTGTGACTTTATTAATATAACCTCCACTTCACACAGTGAATGTTTCTTTCAAAGACTTAAGTTCATTTTGGTTTCAGGAAAAATGTGTTGCAGGAAATAACTATTTGCAGCCTGCCAAGGCAAGCCAGTCTCTTTATAACGAAGAGGGCTATCTGTCTCAGGATACTGCCTCTCCGAAGCACATAGTCCGCAGGCTTGGAAAGGGAAGAGGGATTGGCCGTCCAAAGCAGAAAATCAAGACAACTCGCTGTCAGGCTCCTTAGGTCACACTACACAGGGCTTCATAAGAAGATAACTGTTTATTAGTGGTTCCAGTACTAAAGAACATGTGTACAGATTGTGTCAGGAATCGCCGGCAGTATTAGGGCCTCCAACGTATGGTGAAATCAAACATTCCCCCTGTAAGCATAAGCCAACTGATATATTTCACACGCGCGGCAAAGCAAGCAGGCATAGCAAAAAAGCCGTTAACTTTCCCAGCCGTGTAAACTGCAGCTGGGACTTCTACACGGTCAAGCATAAGATAGCACACAGTAGCTGAGCAGGAGAGAGCTGGGAACGAGAAGGAGGAAACCCCTCCACATTCCAGATCTATGACAGGGCTAGGTGACACTCGCCTGCCCCACAGTGTGCACCTGGTCCTCCCTGACACTAGGGGCACTGTTGCTTTGACACAAAGCTCTATATTTAAAAAGTTAGTTGCTTACTTCATACTCTTCCATTTAACTCCTCAGTGATCAAAAGGTCAGGGTACAAACCCGGATTACAAACATGTGAACTGAAACTGTGGCCCTGTCTTTACTCTCCAGACACAATCAAAATGTTCATTCATTCTCTTTGCATGTCCCATATAGAATAATGGTAGCCTCCTTCTAGTTAGTCTCCTGGCTATGACTCTTAAACCTCTCGTTTCAGTTTGCTACAGTCATAAATCTTTCACCTTATTCAGGCTGTACTTCTGTTTTATACCCTGGAAGAGTATGACGTAAGCAACTAACTTTTTAAATGCTTTTTAACAGCAGTTCAGTGAAGAACACCAAGGAATTCCAGGGTCGCTATGCAGAGGCAGGGAAAGGCAAACCACCTCTGTTAGTCTCTTGCCTTGAAAACCCTACAAGGTCGCCATAAGTCATTTGTGACCTGATGGCACTTTACACACACACACACACACACACACACACAAATCAACAATTGCACTTTAAAGAACATGATATACAAGCACACTCATAAGACAATTGATGTTCTCACATGAGTTCAGAAGCAGCCAGTATGAGCCCTGGTCTTCTGAACTCTACTTAAGTAGATTTCCAGTGTTCAATGACACCTCTAGATTAGGCAGACTGAAGTTGCCTTAGTTTTCTCAATGGTGAAAGAATTGACAATGTGACTTCACAAGCCCTCCAATGGGGCTGCAGATTCAGTCTAGCACTTTATACAACTGATAACAGATTCTAGGGAGCTGGATCCAAATAGGATGGAGAAAATTGATTTCTACAGGACCAAGGAGAGCTCCCTGGCCAAGGTGTTTTGCTTTGACACTGAACTGAACACCCAAGCAACAAAACAAGAGCACTGGTACCCATGCTGACTGCTAGTAGCAACCCATTTAAAAGACTTGGAGGCACCATGGATGCTGGCACTGCTGGATGGCTCGTTCTGTCATCTTTGCCAGGAGCTTATAGGAGAGTGAGGGGTGTTGGGTGCAGTAATGGAATTCTGTCTTCCTGCTTGAAAAGTCTGATTTTCCAAGTCTTGAGGGCAGAGAGACACAAAACTACCCTCCTCCTCCTGAAGCGCTGATAAAACAAGCACCTATTCCAGACTTTTTTAAAGATCAAGGTGTTAGGTCAATTTTACGTAATATTAATGTATCTCAGATTCTCTCCTATATGTCATTTTGCTGTACATTATCCAAAGGCCAGCCAAGGTTAACCTCAATGGGAGCCTGTTTCTTTTTCCCCTCCTTCCAAAACATTTTCCATCGGGGATGAATTTCATTTCATATTCCTTCCTGGAGAGCTAGGGCAGGGTTAAGGTGGTCTTTAGGGTTGGATGCTGGAGCCCCATAGCCCATCAGCTTCCTGGGTAGTCTTGGACAGGTTGCTGTTTACTAGCCTAACCTATCTTGCAGAATAGTTGAATAAAACAGGAGTCCAGTGGCACTTTAAAGACTAATAACATTTATTCCAGCATAAACTGTTGTAAGCCAGAGCTCACTTCATCAGATGCACTGGTGTGTAAGTCCATCAAGCCAGTTTATATACACAACCAAAAGGTGTGGTGGGAAGGGTTTATAAACAGAAGCCAGTTCAAAGTAAGATGCAATTCAATGCAATCATCATAAACGTGACATACTGCCAACTGTTGTTAGGTAAGCAAAAACATAAAACATAATGCACAATTAAATGACATAAACAGAAACAGTGGGAAATTACAGAGCTACGAATAAAGCAATTTACATATGTGGGGGTGGATGGACAAGATATTAGCACCTCAAGTGAGTGAATTAAGAATCCCAGGTCCCTATTAAGGGGGGGGGGGGGGGGGGGGACACAGTCTTGAATTCACAAATGAATCCTAATGTGGCAATTTCACATTAGATTCTCCCTTTGAAGGATTGTTGAGAGCACAGAAGTGTGGACTGATTGTTAAACTGCCTTAAGCATTTGTTAAGGGGTCAGAATATAAGATTAAAAAAACTAGTAAGATTTCTATTCCACCCTGATTTAAATGTACCTCTTCTTCTCTTTTAAAGGTCCTCTCTGTGCACAGATGGGGGAAAGAGCAGACAACTAATAATGTACTGGCAGCACATAATGACCTGCATCAAAGACAGACAAATTACGTACCATATAGCCAATTGACACGCTGCATTTTACCCCCCAATATCCAACAAAGAAACTTCTGATATCAGATCAGTCGAATTCTTTATTTTGACACGCAATGCAGCATTTAATTATCCTCATCAAAGCAGTTCAGGGAACAAAAAAGACAAAGTTAACTTTGCCAAAGGTCACCGACTCTGTGCTCCCTAGCAGTCAGCATACGAATGTGGAAATGCCTCATTCTTGGAATCTCTTTAAGGCATCCATATCGTCTCACTTGATGACTTTTAAACAATTTTTTAAACAGTGTTAAGGATGACACAGCAACAATGATAAATGCACAGCAAAATGTCAGCAACTGTTTGAAAACAGAAGATACGTCTTAGAGAACATTGAGGGGCTAACAACCACCAACATATCAAGGGAAATCCTAAGCAGGTCTACTCAGAGATGAGTCCCATTTTATTTAGTAGAACTTACTCCCAGGAAAAGGCTCACAGGACTCTGACCAAACCCACAAATATATAGTACTATTATTCAACATAGGTCTACATTTTAATACAGAACTGGAGACTAGGTCATCAACGCTCAGCGAACATCAAAATCTCTTATTCTCTACAGCAACTTTTCAAAGTATGTGCCATGCACAAAGTAATGCATACTGTGTTTCTACAAATCATCTTGCCTTGTTTGGACACACAAAGAAACTACAGGTAGCTCTCTTGAGATCTTACTTTCATGTGTACTGGGAGCCTGAAAACTGTGCAGAGATCCTCCTGATACGTGTGGATCCCATGTCACCTGAACACACATATTTTGCATGCTCATAACTTCTTTAGGTTCAGCAAACTGGACACTGGATTTTTCCATGGTGATGGTTTTCATGTACCAAAGCTGTTTGCACGTGCTAAGTGTGCACTTTCCCTCTGCTCAGAAAACACGGAGACTGTACTGGGAGCATTGCATGTAGGGGTGCCAACTCTGGTTTGGGAAATTCCTGGAGATGTGGTGAGGGGGCCTCAGTGGAGTATAATGCAATACAGTAAACCCTCCAAAGCACCCACTTTTCTCAGGAAACTGATCTCTGTAGTATGGGGATCAGTTGTAATTCCAGGAGATCTCCAGGCTTCACCAGGAGACTGGCAACCCTAGGTAGAAAGCTCTTGATCTGCACAGATGCAGGACTCCTGGTACGTATGGGCTTTTACTGCTAAGAGGTTTTCTACTATAACAAATTTTCTCTGTCTTGTCTACTTCGGATTGCTGCAGTTCTGCTGACAGCTGTGCCTGATGGGGGTTTGGGATTTGATTAAAAAGAGTGAAACAGGAACAGGGTTGTGCCATGTACTCAGAAGTAAGTACTCGATAGCACTTCCTCCCTGTTGTATGTATGACTGCACTCTTAACAAGAACCTTCCCAATGGATCAAACGAAAAGCCTGTAGTGTATGCTGACCACCACTGGGGGCCAGCGAACAGCCAGAGCTTGGCTCTGGAAGAACAATAGGGACTAGGCTCCTAGTCCCTCCACTGGGGAACCAATGGGAACCATGGTGGGAGATTCAAACCCACCAATGGTGACTAGGGGTGTGTCCCCAGGTATGTATATAGTTGGCCTGCCGGCCGTTTGTTCCTTGTTCTTGTTGTGTACCAAATAAAGCGTGCCATGCACCACGTCGTTGTCGGTTGTTTATCCATGCAGCAACCCACTACATAACAGTGGCGACGAGGATGGGATGCCGCTGAGTCTGGCCTGGCTCGCACCAGCACACGCTAAGCTTCCGTTCCTGCTACGCCGCGCCCCGCATAGCGCACCAGCCGCACCGCACTGCGCACCGCTACAGGGAACCTAAGCCCCGCGCTACCGCTATGCCATGGCCTCCAACCGTGGG